CATATTGATTGTCATGTGTTATTAGTATTTATGTTAGTAGTGATCACTTTATTAATTGTCATAAGTAGTGCCTTTCCTTCTTAGGTTTAATGTTTATATTGTTGTTTTCACTTTTAAAGGCAGCTTCTCCTTATTTATAGGTTTAAGTTGGAGGTGGCTCCCCCATCTCTCTGTTTTTGTTTTAAAAATAAATAAATGTATATACTTTGAAATTGTTACACAACTGCAACATTGTATTCCTGTGTTATAGGTCATTGTGGCACCACGTTAAAAGCTGTTTCTGACATATACAGTGGGGAAAGTAACTATTTGAGCCCCTGCGGATTTTGTAAGTTTGTCCACTCACAAAGAAATGAAGGGTCTATAATTTTTATCATAGGTATATTTTAAATGATAGAGACAGAATATCAACCAAAAATCCAGAAAAAACACATGATACAAATGTTATAAATTGAGTTGCAGTTCAGTAAGTAAAATAAGTATTTGATCCCCAAGCAAAACATGACTTAGTACATTGTGGAGAAACCCTTGTTGGCAAATACAGAGGTAAGACATTCCTTGTAGTTGGTTACCAGGTTTGCACACATCTCAGGAGGGTTTTGGTCCACTCTTCTTTACAGATCTTCTCTAAATCCTTAAGGTTTCTTGGCTGTCGCTTGGTAACTCGAAGTTTCAGCTCCCTCCATACATTTTCTATAGGATTGAGGTCTGGAGACTGGCTAGGCCACTCCATGACCTTAATGTGCTTCTTCTTGAGCCACTCCTTTTCTGCTTTGGTGGTATGTTTTGGGTCATTGTCATGCCAGAAGACCCATCCATGACCCGTCTTCAGTGTTTTGGCTGAGGGAAGAAGGTTCTCATCCAAGATTTTACAATACAAGGCCTTGTCCATTGACTCCGCAATGCGGCAAAGTTGGCCTGTACTTTTATCAGAGAAACAACCCCAAAGCATACTGTTTCCACCTCTGTGCTTGACTGTAGGGATAGTGTTCTTTGGGTCATAATCAGCATTTTTCTTCCTCCAAGCATGGCGAGTCGAGTTAATGCCAAAGAGCTCAATTTGGTCTCATCTGACCACAGCACTTTCTTCCAATCCTTCTCTGAATCATTTAGATGTTCATTGGCAAACTTCAGATGGGTCTGTACATGTGCCGTCTTGAGGAGGGGGACCTTGCGGGCGCTGCAGGATTTCAATCCATGGCAGTGTATTGGCTTTTTGGTCTTGCCCATGATGGTGAGGAAGAATGAGATTCTGTGGACAGGTGTCTTTTATACACATTACGAGTTGTCGTTAGGAGCACCTTTTTAAATTGACAGGTATAATCTGTATACCACATGAGCCAGTCTGTGGGAGCCAGAGTTATTGTTGGTTGGTAGGGGATCAAATACTTATTTTACTCACTGAACTGCAACTCAATTTATAACATTTGTATCATGTGTTTTTTTTTTTTTCTGGATTTATGGTTGATATTCTGTTTTCTATCATTTAAAATACATCTACAATAAAAATTATATACCTTCTTTTCTTTGTAAGTTGGCAAACTTACAAAACCTGCAGGGGATCAAATAATTATTTTCTCCACTGTATGTCCTGTATGTTAATTGTGTATTACAAAGTAATTTCCTGGCTTGCTTCTTGTGGCCCTTGCTCACTGACAGCCCAGTGGGCAATGGCTGTAAAGTTTTGCATATATTAAAATAATCGGCTTGATGACACTTAAGGCATCCCCTGATTTCTCTTACAGCCCAAGATTGTAGAAGCTCTTCTGGGTTATGAGATAGTTCACGTGTCCTGCGGGGCTTCACATGTCCTTGCTGTTTCTAATGAGAAAGAAGTGTTTTCCTGGGGCCGTGGGGGGACAATGGTAAGGCTTGTTCTGACCTCTGCTTGCATGAATCTGTATGACAAGCACCTCTGTGATTGGAGACGTTCTGACACTTCTATTACATTCTGGTTTTTAAGATATATTAACATCAGTTCTTCATACTCTTGACAGTTTTATAGTACCCCATACAGGGAGCAAGGGTTGTGATCTATATACAGGTAGAACCAGAACATCCAGGTCTGGTGTACATTGGTGACCCTTAGATTTTATCATAGTTACTGATTACAGAGATTTCCCATTATGTTTCTATACTTTACACATATATATCATTATCTCACTAAATTGTTCTGAATGGTGGCATTATCATTAACTTTAAAGGGACAGTAAACACATTACTGGGGGTAATGGAGAATATATCATTATCTTATAAGTTGTTCTAAGTAGTGACATTATCATTTACTTTAAAGAGGTAGTAAACTTAAAGTACTGCTGGTTAATATAAAGGAACAGCTCAAAATGCTTTCCCAGATGTATATAAACATTGCAGGTACTTACCCAGGCAGTCCCCCTGTCAGAACAAAAAAGCACAGCGGGGGAGATCATCGCACTAACTTCACCTGTGTTAGTATGGCAATCTCTTCATTGTTTTTTTTCTTGTTTTTTTTTTTTCAGCCCACTGAGTTGAATGAAAGTAAATTTATAGTGTGCCCAACTTTAGATTGAATTCTGGTTTGGGGTTTTGTTACTGTTTCTGGTCCAGAAATCCAGCTGAATACAACCATGATAGCCTGAAATAGGTAATACCATCGAATAATAGTCTTCATATAGCTTTCTAGGTAATGTAAAGCCTGGTATACATTATACGTTTTTTTATCAGATTGCTCTACTAACACGCAATCTCCCCAGTTGTGCTATTGTGTTCTGACAGGGGGAACGCCAGAACACACATGTCAATGCTCACCATTGGCTGACAGCGTTGATCGAATGCAGGTCGGCTGCTGGTTTTACAGCATGCCTTTTCGACAGAAGCCGGGCATGAGATTGGCTTCTGTCCGACGGTCAGGTGTACACACGGGTCAAAACTCATTCGGTTTCTACTGTACCGGCTGATTTCGGGTGATATTCAGCTTGTGTGTACGGGTGCTTTCAAGCAATGCTAGATTTTGCATGGATAAGGAAAGTTTTAGAAACACATTTGTGGCTAAAATTGATAGCCTGTTTTCTAAAGCAAAGATGCATTTTAGGTTTTACGGATCCTTTCCTAAAGGTTTTGCTTATTTTAATCTCTAGTGTACCATTTGCAAAAAAATATTAAATGCAAGATTCTACAAGTACACTATGCTTACTTATTGCCTCAGGCCCTACATTTATTCTAACATGATATAAGATGTCACTCAGCCAGTCCAGGCTGAGGAAAGATCCTGACTTTGAAGTCGGAATCCACTTAGAACCCTGGACCAGTACCTGGCTCAGCCTCTCTGCAATCCGATGAGAGCCTGAGCCAGCCACTCCTTCCCCCTCCACAGTCAAGCGCTCCAGTGAGCCTGGGGAGAGGGGCAGAGCAAACAGCGGTGACTGACAGTCTCTACTCAGAACGGCAGGGAGAACTGGGTGCTCAGTGGTGTCTGATTGCTCAGTTCTAAGCCTTAGAGCCATCAGGGGACAGATGCAGCATTTGATGCTGCATCCACCTAGGTAAGTATGATTTAAAAAAAAAAGAAATCCCATACTTCTCTTTTAAACCTAGGTATTGCACTATGGGCCATTTCACACTGGTGGTTCACTGAAAAAGCTACTGCCATTTTCCTGATGGAAGTTCATAATTCACTGGCAATCGCTTGAGTAGTAGTGTGAACTACTAAAATTGCTGGAAAGATACCTGGCTGGTGTGAGCAGTGAGGGAGCGGTGTCATTGGAAGTAGTGAGTTGGCAATCCTTAAGCTAGCCATGCACAGCTCAAATTTTGTCTGATTCAGCAGGAATGGGGCTGAGGGAAGCCCTATCAACACTGCCTGGCTCAACAGAACTCGACTGAAAAATCAAAGAAGCCAGGTGCAAAAATGTTGGATATTCAGGCAGCTGGGGCTGCTTGAATACAATAGCTGGCAGTGCAGATTTATCCATCCATTCTGTTTAGAATCAATGGAAAAATGGATTGATTGAATCTATTGGTTTTCTAATGTATGGCTAGGTTTATTGTGCCTAGGCTTCCTGACAGGAAGTAAATAAAAATTACTTCAATAGAGACACGGATAGCAATAAAAACCTGGGAGGCTCTAACCCTATCTGCCCTATCCAAACTGAAATAAAAGCTTTGATTGTAGCTGGGATAAAAGTATTAGAACTATCTTATTGATTCAAGTGTATGAAAGGGCTGTAGTGTTGAAAAGCATATATCTTGTGTAAAATATTTTTTGTGCCAGGTTTCTGCTGGAAATTCCAATACATCTGCATCTACCACTATATACTAGTCTGATCTTTTTCTGATGGTTATAGAATAGTTACAGAAATATTTTGATCTTCTTCCTTATAACATTAGTGGGTTTTTTGCAATTATTGGCAGCTCCAAGTTGTACACTAGAGTACACTACAGTCCAAATCTTGCACTGATGAGAGCTAATAGTACTGATATAACAAAATAATAATTGTATTAGTGTATTGTACTGTATATTGTATATATTATTGTATATATTGCTTGTTTTAGGTTCCTCGGGATATATCACGTCACTGTAACATAAAAAAAAATTGGTTCTGTGCCCACACATTGGTGTGGATATACTAAAGGCAAATAGGTTGTGCACTGCACAGGTGCTCTAGACCTGAGGGGAACATGCAAGAAAAATAAAAAAAAATGAAGAAACATAATTTTTGCTTGCACATGATTGGATGAGAGAAATCAGCAGAGCTTCCCCTCATTTCGGAGCTTCCCCTCGGATATAAAGTAATTGCACTTGCAGTGCACAGTATATTTACCTTTAGTAAATCAACCCCATTGTGTAGTAAAGAGCAAACCCCTAGTTTTGGATTTGTAGTAATATGTACATATCATATGTTTTCTTATGTTACCGATGCACATACAGTGGGGAGGAGGGGAGCATTTACATTTTTTACCTATCCAATGTGTCCAATCCAAGTTTTTCTTTTTCTGCTGATCTTATTTCTTTTCTCACTGTAGGAAGACTGGGGTTAGGCAACCAGGAATCTCATAATTCCCCTCAACAGGTGGTAGTTCCACAGGACTATGAACCCCAGAGAGTTGTATGTGGCATTGACAGTTCTATGATTCTGACTGTGGGCAATCAGATCTTGGCCTGTGGCAGTAACAGGTTTGTATGTTCTAAACGTAGCAAACAAAAAAGCATCAACATTTTTGCCAATGTACCAAAATTCATAAAGGTTTTCTGTGAATTTCAATTCTTTAAACAATTTTTGCAGTAGAGTAAAGGTTTTGCAATAACAAATTGGCATAATGTCTGCAGAACCTGTGAGACTGTTGTAACAGTTATCTTTTGTACTTACCTTAAAGAATACGTTCACCTTTTCAGGCAGAATTTCACTTTTCATAATAAATAGAAGCTTTTACAATGCCATTTCTGGCCCAGCCATCCCAATGTGCTTTCTCTCACTTACCTCATCCACAAGACATTTAATTTTTGTCAGTTTATGTGAGATTTTGAACTGATTTTCAGATTCCACCCATTTCCTTTAGATTATCTCTCAGCATTCACTTCCTGAAGGCCGCCTCCCGGAAGCCTTTACTTCCTCGTTGCATCACAGAAGAGGGAGTGGTATGCTGTGTTCACCACTCTGGACCACCTCCCTTATTACATTATCACCTTCCTATACAATCAATTGTACAATCTCCGTTAGATCTCCCATCAGCTATGTAGTACAAGGGCCTATCTGATTTGATACAAATTGAATAGAATGTTCAGGTGTGTCCTCCTATTCCATAGTTCTGGTAAATCTACAGGAAATTGTACAAAGATTGTACAATCGGATTGCTTTGTGTATGCCTATCTTTATACAAATACATAGGAGGGAGTGAACATAGACACTCAGTTGCCATGGCCCATTTACATCTCCACGTAGCGAAAACTCACATTCCCACATGTGTTTGTTTTGGGGCATTTTTACTCGCCACTTTTTTTGGAGTGTTACCGCAGTTTTTGGTGTGTTTGACACACTTGGGGTGCCCATTAACATGTAATTACAACACAAACATGATGCATATTTGCAGCGTGTTTCTTTAACGTATGGCATGCCTTTTCTGTGCAGATTGCCATATGTTCGGAAACACACAGCATGTCATCTGCATACGCTGCTACTTTATGATCTACATCTATTTTAATTCCTCTAACATTTAAACTCTTTCTTACTGTCGCCAATAGAGGTTCTAGGGATATAACAAATAACAGCAGGGATAGCGGGCATCCCTGTCTTGTGCCATTATACATTTTAAAAAACCCTGAAAGGGATCCATTTACCTTAACCGCCGCTGATGGACTATTATAAAGCTTCTTTATCCACTTTATCATCCTAGTCCCTATTCCTAAAACCTCCAGCGTACTTAACATAAATCCCCAATCCACCCTGTCGAACGCCTTTTCAGCATCGATCGACAGGATGCTTGTCGCCAACGTTTCTCTCCTTACCTTTTGTATGAGGTGTAGTTATCTTAAACCATTGTCCCTTCCTTCTTTACCAGGGACATAGCCCACCTGATCCATTCCGGCATCAATTCCTTTAATTTAGTAGCTAATACTTTCGCGCAGCGTTTGTGTCTATATTTAATAGTGCTATAGGTCTATAACTGGCGCATTGTGAACAATCCTTCCCTTCTTTAAGAATGATTGTTATATATTCTTGTAGGAATTCTTCTCTTATTCCCATTCCTTCCCCTAGGGCATTCCTATATAAACCCATATTATGTATCAATAAATCTCCAAACTCTGTATACCCATCAGGTCCTGGACTCTTTCCTCCCACTGTACGTTTCAGGGCCATACTTGTCTCTTCCTGGGAGATTACTTTTTCTAATGATATTAACTTTTTCTCTGATACTTTTGGCAGATCTGCTTCTTCTAGGTATTCCCATCTTTTCCCTCTCTTTGTTTCTTCTGTTACCTGCCAATTCTTGGGGTTCACATCATACAGCCTACTATAGTATTTCTGGAATGTTTTCGCAATATCAGCGGTGTAGTATACCAATTCTCCTTTATCATCTTTTATTTTTTCAATGTAATTCATCGATTTCTTTTCCTTCAGTCTTTTCATTAGATATTTCTTTAGATATTTTCCCGGTTTATTCCCCAACTGGTATCTTTCCTTAGAGACCCTATTAAAAATCTTCCTCGTCTTTTGTTCCAACAGGTCCTTTAACTCTTCTCTCTTAAGGATGATCTTCTGATGTATATCTGTATGCTAAAAAAAAAGTTAATACACTCCTTCGCCACAGAATAATCTCCAACCCAGGTATGAAATGCTGCTGTGCACCAGTGTAGAACACCAAATCAAAAAAAAAAAAAATATAAACAGCGCAAAACAATACGTAATAAATATAAAGTAATAGTGTCCAAAAACTAAAAAATATTTTGAAATTAAAAAATATTTTATATATCAATAAATGAATGTGTCCATAATAACTAAAAAATTTGAAATTCAAAATCCTTCCTCCCAGACTCCACAGTGCTTATATTCTTCTGTGATATATGCTTCCACCATTCACCAGTGCAAACCGACATAAACCGCACTCATCAGATAATGGTGAATAGTAGGCCTTTTAGGACTTTCAGGGATCTTACACCCCCCCATAGCCTCCAGACCTCCATCCCACCATACAGAGTTATGATGATCCTTCCACTCCCTCCTTGGTCGGTACCTCCAAACCAGCTCCACCGTTGTGCCAAAGGAAAAATATTGCATATAGTGTAATATTGCTAATGACCATAGAGCATGTAAAAACAAATACCAGGCCACTCACATGTTCCAAGATTCATAAAAGCATGTTTAATAGCCTCCAACGGCCAGGTAAAATCACACACCATCCAGAGACAGCTCCAGAAATCTCACAGCTCCAATATAGCAGAGGATGACAGTATGTAGGACAGACAGATCCCAAGATGGCCGCTTGGAACGCACCGCTCAGCGTGCGTTCCACTAACCAGAAGTTGCGCAAGACGTAAGGACAGCAGACCGGAAGTGCATCGACGTGTTTCGCCCCTCCCACTGGGCGTTCTCAAGACTTGATTTCTATTCGAAGGGAAGGGAATATATACCACTAATATAATGGACCTTCCTCCTACACCCCCCCCTTTTCCACACCTCCTTCCCCACACTACTTCTCCCTCCCCCTCCCCCTCCATCATATTCCTAAAAAACCCCTGGCCTACGCTTTGCCCTGGAATCTGAAGTGAGGATCTCTCACTACTGATTCCTATTCTGGGGTACAACTCTGAACATGTGCACCTGGAATTATCCCCAGTTCTCGACATGGGGTTAAGATCTGATCACCAATTTAACCTCCTGACGCCCCACCTACTCTAACCAATAACTCCCCAGAAGTACTAGAAAAGGGGGGGGAGGGGAGATGGGGAAAAGAAACTAATAAAAGGAGAGGGGAGGATGGGTGGAGGAAGAAGATTTACTGGCCCCCCTCTCTCCACCCATCTCCCCGTCCCCCTCTATCTTCTCTTTTGTTAACTTGCTGCCATTTCTCTTTTCTCGGCCTTACACTTTTGTTCGGCCCCTCTGACCATCTCTCAATGTCCACATTCCGCAGTTCCAGTTTTTCACAAAAGTCACTAAGTTCTTCTGGGAATCTTAGCCTTGCCAACTTCCAATCCTTCCATTCAATCAGACATGCCGGGAACCCCCAGTTGTATCGAACTCTTTTCTCCTTCACCTGATCCAACAAGGGTTTTCTACAATCTTCTTTTCGCTAATGTCTCAAATGCAATGTCCGCAAAGACCTGCAAGTTCGATTCTCCGAATCTTATTTCAGGGTTTTCCCGCAGTTTTTTCCATATTCTCGCTCTATCCTCGTAATGACGAAAGCGGACGATCACATCCCTAGGGATGTCTGTTGTTATTCCTGGCGGACGCCTTATCTTGTGTACTCTCTCTATCTTCAATGGGTTTGAGACTGCTCTACCCATTAATGGGTTAAACACCCTTCTTATTTTTTTCTTTAGGGTCCTTCTCGTGTGCCTCTTCTGGTAATCCTCGGACCCTTTGGTTGTTTCTTCTCCCTCCATTCTCTTGATCCTCCAGCTTAAAAGAGAGCACTCTCTGTTCCCTTCTCATCTCCTCTATCTGCTTCTCCAGATTAATACTCTGCTGGGCTTGTATCTCCATTTTCTCCTCTACCTCTTCTACCCTTGTTAACAGTAGACCCAAGTCCTTGTGAAATATCGCCATTTAATTTTTCATGGAGAGTTCTAATTCTGCAAACATTTCCACCATTTTTAATCTTGTAGGGATTTGTGATATTTTGCTTTGGTGTTCAAAAACTTTTTGATAGTTTACATTATCGACAATTATAGATTCAATGATCTCATTCCCTTCCCTTGCTCTAGATGACAATCTAGATTGCTGACCATCATATTTTCTACTTCTTTCTTGTTGTTTCTTCATATCTTGTAACTCTGGGCTTTTTTCTTGTAACGGCATATATTTCTTTATTGTACTAGTATTTGCATTGGATTGTGGGGTTTTTACTCCCCCCCCCCCCCCCCTCCCTTTAATGGGTTTGTTCTTCATGTTGACTGACCAGAGATTTTAACTTCAAACAACCGTATTGTCAGATATGAGGAGGGTAAAAAGAAAAAGTCCCTCCTTTCTGCTCCTCTCAGGGAACTTGTACAGACATGGATAGCTTTACATGTGCTTATGTTCTTTATATCAGAGCTTAGCCTCTGTACTCTTCACATTTCTTGATCTTCCAACCATCCAGCCCCATTACTCAGGTATACATTTATCAATGCAGAAAACAGAGACAGTGGGAATTTACATCTTCAGCCGTTAATCAAGGTAACTCACCATCCCTTTCTGAAGTCCTTAATCCCTCTGCCTCTGTGCACTTCTTCTATCCCTCTCTGAGAATCCTGTATTGAGGGGGGGTCTGGGCAGTTACTTGAAGTGCCTTGTCTTCAGATGTCTCTTGCTCTGTTGGTCCCCAAGGTTATCAGCTTTCCACCAGGCCAGTGGGGCGTCTAGCCACTTAGTCGGCACAGCCCTATGTTTGGCCGCCCTCCCGGGGTCCTGCAGGCACCTCTGACTCCTAACTCTCCTCCAGGACCCTTCCAGGGAGCATCTCTGTCAGCGG